ATGAATTCAACACCCGTAGGAGACGGTCTGTTCCATGCCAGACACAATCATCAGGACACACAAACATACATATTAATAGATGTACATACATTCCTCGTCGGTAGCACAACTCGAAGTTTCATATACAGCGCAATATTCAGGTGCTGAATTCAAACTGACTATTCAAACTATACATATATATACAAACATATATGTATATATATATATATACATACATACATATATATATACATATATATGTAAGCAAATGTAAATGGATATAGATCCGACAGAATGAAGAAAATTTGGAAAAAACAAACAAAAATCCTTAAATGCAATTATGTTGTTTAAAATGAATGAAATGTCGACGTCTGACGTTTCGGTTTAATAAACCTTTTTCAAGACAATATTCATTAAAATACAATTCAGTTCAATTTGACAAAGACGATGGACATAAAAAACAAGTCTTATCCAATACATATATATATATACATACATACACATATACATATATACATAGATATATATACATATGTATACATACATATATATACATACACATATATATGCATACATATATATATATATATATATATATATTCATATATATACATATATATATACATACATACACATATATATATATATATATATATACATATATATATATATATATATATACATATATATACATATATATACATACATACACATATACATACATATATATATATATATATATATATATACATATATATATATATACATTAATATATATATATATACATACATACATAAATATACACATATATATACATACATACACATATATACATACATATATACATGCATACATATATATATATACATATATATTTATACATACATATATATATACATAAATATATATACATATATATAAATGCATACATATATATATATATGTATATACGCGATATATATATATATATATATGTGTGTGTGTGTGTGTGTGTGTGTGTGTGTGTGTGTGTGTATACGCGATTTTGGCTTCCTTGTCTCGTAAATACGAATTTGTCGTTACTTAGAGGTATTCAAGCAGCAAAGGCGGACTATTATTGTAGTTTCGTCTGTGTGTCATCTTTGATAATGGCTTATGTAAGCCGAAAGCTTGGATTGGATTTAAACATGTATCAATATGGTGTTTTCCTTTCGTCTTTCAACGATAATGTGATTAAGCTTATCAGACAATATGAAAGGAACTTACTTAAAATAAATAAACAAAACTTGTCTATATTATTTAATGAAACATGCATTAATATATATATATATATATATATATATATATATATATAAATTATGAAGAACTTTTTTAACCCCTTTGGTAAATCCAAGGAGGATGAAATCCTGAGAGCTCAATGTGAAGAACAGAGCTAATATTTAATGAAAAACAGACCACTTGAAGGTACCATTACAATAATTTATTTCACCAAAATCCTTTTTAAAGTATTTCGGATCATCCAGGTAACACTTCCAACAATGAAAATATATATATATATATATATATATATATATATATATATATATATATATTATATTTTGTTTAATGTTTTCCACTTAATAATATGTATAAAATATTAGATAGTGTCTTTGAAAACCGTTTCATAAATGATATCACATCTATGATACTCATATATTTTAAATAAATTTGAAATGTACTGTACCAAAATATGCCAAGATGAATCCAACAATATTTTACCTATCTTACTCATAATATATCGTTCGATCGAATTTAACCAAACTTATTTGAATAAACTCTTGCTGCCTTAATATAGTTTATTGTTGATAACTGTCTATCACATAAAATAATGATAGCGCTTTCGTTGGATGAAATCGATTTTGCCGAGAGCAACATCTAGAATGACTAAGCAATCCGATTCGAGAATGACAATCTTACCCGCAGGTAATGCACGCGAAATTAATGTGCGGAGAGTGAATTTGATTTTGCCCTTTTTGTTCTTTACATCACCTTCTGTTTCCCATTTGAATTATCACGCTTGTCCTCGCTTCTATCAATGACTTTTCGAAAAATAACTGTCGCTTGTATCTGCGGTCTCCCTCAAGTCTATCTCAGTTATCTGGAACAATTTCTTTTAATTTCAATTCCCACATGCAGACATAATTAAAACTTAGTGCAGGGTGACCAACTGGGCGTTTTCTTGTCGCTAGATCACCATGCATAACATTCAATAAAAATGACCCGAACCCACGCAGCCGTAGCTTGCATGAAATATATGCTTAAGTATGCTGTTCACTTCATCTCTGCGGCGCCATTAGTGATTTTCTTTTGCCAGCGATGTGACACTGATGATGCATCGGGAATTGAAGCAATACAATTGTTTAGATTATGCAAACATATCATTAATAAACATATCCATTACTCAAATGTTCAAACTACTTGCACTCCTCTTTACCTGCAAATCATCATTATTATTATTTATTGAAAAAAATAAAAATTATAATAAATGTATTAAAACAAAAATATGAAAATAAAAATATTAAAAATGATTTTAATGAATTAAATGAATTCTAATATTAAAGGGATCCTAGAACCACTATTATAATATTAGTAACATTGGTATAATTATTACTGTTTATCTACTTTTCTAGACAACTTTAAGATATATATATATATATATATATATATATATATATATATATATATATATATAAGTGAACATAGAAGTCAACACTTAGAGGCGACAGTCTGTTTCATGCTAGATGCAATCTGACGCTTGCATCTAGCAGGAAACAGACTGTCGCCTCTAAGTTTGACTTCTATGTTCACTTTTATATTTACACACGCTCTATCTCTGATATTGAGCACTTTATCCCATAAATATAGCACATTTTAAGACTATATTTCTTCATATATATATATATATATATGTATTTATATATGTATGTATGTATATATGTGTGTGTGACTGGTGCAATATAATAAAATAATGAAGCAGTCATACAAAGAATGATGCGATCCTATCGAAAGTACTAGCATATTTATGTGACATAAGGAACATCTAAAAAAAAATAGATAGCATCAGTCAACGAGTGCTTAGTGGGTTAATACTTTATAATTTGTTAGCTAACTGAATTTGCCATTTAATTAGCCTTACTAATTTATTCCTTGAATGACTGCATCATTGTAATATTAATTATACTGCACCAATCATAAATTTAAAAAGACTGATCAACGGTGCAAAATTTCGGAAAACAACTGGGACATTGCTCTAGTTACTGGATCATTTAGTCTATGCCACTTTGACCAATAAAACACAACAAGAAAATTCTTGAGATTGCCATATTAGTAAATTCAAAAATCGCTCTCACTTAAATTTTCAAAGTTCAACCTTAGCGTTGCGACGGCACGCTCCATAATTTTGGAACTGTTAACAATAACACACCCCCCAAAAAAAACATTTTGACTTGCATTACATTTATTTTCTTCTTGGATGTTACCTGAATTTTACCTAAAAAGAAAAATAATATCCATGCCCGATGATGATAGGATGACCTATCGAAAGTACTAACATATTTATGGAACATACAGAACATCTAAATATAAGGATCGCATCATTCAACGTGTGGTTCACTGTACCGCAGCAGTAAGTATCTGACGTCTCCTGCTATACCCTATCTTTACAAGAGCCAGAAAATGGAGCATTGCTGCTATAACTGGGTTGAAGATGCGCATTCCACACTTACTTGTCTTGATAGGGTCCAAAAGTGTCTACGATATTCTGTCACCATTTCCATGGCTTGTGCTCTGATACGGACGAATAAACACGTCCAAAACCCAAAACAGCTACAGACGTGTTTATACATCGATCTTGATCTTTTTATGCCCTTCTGAGCTCGAAACGGGTCCACTTGCCAACTTATACGTCTGGTAGAGATGTTAGCCACCGTTCAGGAACTTCAAGAAGCCACAGTTTCTTAGTTACATTAAAAACAAAAAAATCGTCTGAAAATGAAACGATTTTCCCAAAATAATTGGCGAGGAAGAGGTCAATGTATATTTATTCTAATGAAAGTAAGGTATTATTAACTAGTGGTAATTACCAGTTAATAGATTGGATTAAGAAAAATAGTTCTCCAATACAGTGAAGCAATAATATTTTAATAAGCATAAAATCCGAGAGCGCTTTGGAATTGTCAAAAATGCCTTCCAAAAACAGGAAAATTTCGTTAGAAATAAGGTATGGCCGTTAACAAGAGAGACAGCTGAATATTTGAGCTACGTACGGGAGACGAGAAAAAGGACAGACATTTAACTCTCTGTGATATGGTGGTAAAATGTGAAGCGGAAATCCGAAGGAGAACTGAAATTTTCAAAGATGTCTTCCAAAATGAAAGAAACAAAAAATAGTGCTCACATATCAGGTCTCTATACGACAGGAAATGTTGGACCATTCCCTCATAGATGAAGAGAAGACTTGAGGTAACAGAGTCATAGTTCTATAGAAGGATATTGAAAATAGCATGAACCGAACATGTGAGGAGCAACGATTAAATTTTATGAAAAACTGGAACGAATAGGACATACGCGTTTAGGGACAGAAAGAAACGGTTGAAATTCCTGGGACAAATAATGATGAAATTGGTCTTGGAGAAGTTGAAACTCAGAGGATACACTAAAAGTAAACTGAAGCAGAAAGAAACATCGAGTAATCTGCCTAAGAGGTATGGTACAAAACGGATGGTACAAAAACCTTGGGTGATTTATTCATTTACTTTTTTATGGTTTATCAACCCTTTATAGGTTATTTAAAGAGATTGTGAGAATTTTTTGGTGATAATAATAATTTTTAATGATACAAGGTCTACTAACTAACTCATAGCTGGGGGAGAAGATATTGATTCATAGCTCTGCCATTGGTATTTGCGTATAAGTGAATATAACGAACCCGATTGGAATTGAAACTCGGTTCTCCGATTTCTAATTCCGAGTCTTTATATACTACACCACCCGAATATCCAAGCTTACAACACCTGAGATTTCCTAGTGGTTACACATCTAGGTAATGACCAGGCTCGATGTTGCTTAACGTCGCTGATCGTACGGGAACCTGTGTTTCAACGTGATATGGGAGTAAGCAACGGGTGGAAAGCTAAAAACACAAACAATGTTTAGAGCTACAAAGGATTTGGAAATTGTGGAGAGTCATCGTCGCCCAACGTCCTGAGGTAACAAATAATGAGAGAAGAACGCATTTGCTGTTAGAGAAAATGTTACTTTTGTTTTACTTATTCGCTGTCTTTAGTCACAAATGGGGCAAAATGTTAGACATTATGTAAAATTATATTTACGTAGTGATTTGCTAAATTGTATCAATTTTGGTTCCACGTTCGTATTTGTCCGCCTCTTCACGGTGGTAGGACTGGAAAAATGTCTGTTTAATTTGGGGTTGTCGATACGCATCTAATACAAAAATTGCCCCGTCTCTGTGACCAATGACACTCTGGCGTCAGTATACACTTTAGTTAGAGAATCGAAGAGATGCTGTCACAGTTTTTGAACCAGGCTTTGGCATTTAATCAGATGATAAAATCTTCACAAAACAAACAAACAAGCGTTAATTATTCTATTATTCAGAAACTGTCAGTTTATCAACCACAAATATACTAGTCACCCAAGTGCTGCACATGATACACAGTCAGTCGATCATGTCTCTTTCGATTCATGAATGTAGGTTTCTATTTCTTTCTACGATAGACTGGTGGCCAAGCCAAACTATAGGACTATGTCTGTCCTGCTATTCAACATATAGCTGGGGGAGTAGAGATGGATTCATACCTTTTCCAAGGGTTTTTTTGCGCGTAAATGTTTCCGACTAGTATTCGAACTTTTCGAGACGTTATCCGTTACGCCATACCGAAAAATATATACAAATAGAAAAAAAATGATGTACCCTTTATCAGTATTTAGATTTTTGCTGTTCGGAGAACGGGAGGCGATATTTCAATATAATTCAGGCAAAACTGGATTCTCAACAGATTCTTTTTCATTTACATTATTTACACTCGGATTATTGTCCTCATGATTGTCGTTGTTATCACAAAGTTTTAGCAGCATCAGTTATCAGCAGCAGCTAGAGTAAGTTTAACGCTCCAAGTTATAGACTAAGAAATCAAAGTCGGAACAATATACTAGTGGGTTAAAACGCTGGTTTGTGAAACTTCTTATTTGTGAGTTCAATCCTGGAAAAGGGTACTGCATCCTTATACACTGTGGTAAAAGGCAAACAATAACTGATCACTACTGAAATAGAACAAACCGAATTGTTCCAAGATATAGACAGCTTTATGTATAAGAATACCTCGTCATATCAGGCGTCGCTGCTGTGATATATATGGCAAGTTGGTTTTATGGGGTTGAGTTCACTGCCCCATGCGAAAAAAAATTTTGAATTCAGATTCTTCTTTCTTCTAAACTTTTGACCAATCAAGGCTATAAAGCCCAGTTTGTTCTGTTATTTAACCCATTGATGGAAATAAAAGAGATGAATTTATACATTTCTAATGATATTTGTACAAATAAGATAGCAACGAATTCGGTGTGATGTTTCTTTCCGAGCCGGTGATACGCAACACATACATTCAAATTACGGCAAGGTTGAAATTTCACTATTTTTAGAAAGTCAATATTGCACGCGATGTCAATGCTGCGGATTGATGTGATAAGGACTGACACCAGAAAATAGATTCATAGCTTAATCAATTTTTAAGCATTTAGTTTTACATATCGTCTGAAAAGCTGTACAGAAATAACAAATTTCCGCTTACAAACTGACTTCAAAATTTGATTATTTCAAGAATAAATCCAAACAAAGTTGATAGTTTTTTTATATTAGATACATTGAATGAAAACTATATTCAAACCAGAATTCTAATTATGAATCACCACAAGCAAAATATGCACTTTTTTACTGTATTCGATAAGTAAAAACTGTAAAAAAAATTGTAAAAGATTACAGAAAATGCTACTCAATAAAGAAGATAATTGATAAAATAAAAAAAATATAAATGACAGTGTAAATAACCCCATAATACTCCTTGGCACAAATTATAAGACAGGATGTTTTAAATTTGCATTGTTTATTGAAAATCACACAGAATCCACTGCACTTTATAAAATACTACTTCATAATATTAGTAAATTGTTCGATATAATTTCCCTTTGAAGTAAATCAAGATTTTATTTGATGGTACAATGATTAAGTAATAATGGGCTTGGTCCATGAATCTTGTCCATATAAAATTTGTAAAGCTTCATAAAACTATAAATTTTATAAGGCAGTCTTATAAGGCTTTCAATGATCACAGGAATAAAATTGCAACGCTACGATTTTTTACCTGTATTTTGTGCCGTTATTTATCATGTCAAACGCCAACTTTCAAATTGAGTGCAAGAGCACGGTTCCAAATTGACCTTCCCTAATCCACACGGATGTGTGAATAGTGTGAATAGGCGGATGTGGAGGATTAAACTTTGGTTCTGACAATTTTACCTGGTTTTACTTATGAGTTCAATATTACATTTCTATTTCATTTCTCATCTATACCATAGGTATAATGGTTAACAAGATAGCCTTGAAGATTATTATTACTACGTACTAATTTCAATCCTCATGTGTCTTGATTAAGTTACAGAAAGGCGTTGGTTGAATCCCGTTAGAGCAATGGTTAGCGAGCTTGATTTGGTTGATAATTATTAATTGATAACGTGTTAGATTTCTACTAGGCGCTCAGTCTTTAGAAAATAGCATATTAGTTCTATAATGTTTATCGATCTGTTACATTATTTGATCATAATAAAAATGAGATAAGGGATAGCGGCTCGGATTGAGGAATCGGAGAGCCGAGTTCGAATTCCAGTCGAATACATCACATTCATTTACGTGCTAATACCTTAGGAAAGGTATGAATCCTCTTCTTCTCCACTCAGCTGTGGACAGATCGGTTCTATAGCCTTGGATGGCAACTGGTCTACTGCAGAAAGAAATGGCAATCTACTACGGGGAAAAAATCTACCTCGTCAGTCATGTATCGAAAGATACACGATCGTCTAAGCGTGTGTCACGTATGGAACACAACTGACTGAATGTTTATCGCTATAAAACTGAAGCATTTTTTTGCACTGAAAGTCGAAATAAAACTTACAAATATGTTCTCGTGCTTATTGAAACAGTATTTGTCTTCAAGGTTATCAAGCCAATCAACGCTAATAATACATCATTATATAACAAAGTTAGCGTTTTAAACCTTCGTTCGTACCGGGGGTGGGGGTAACACGCCGAAATATCTTTCCTTGATATTCTGACAAGCGATAACTCAAATTTTCATGAATACTCAAGGATCTTTCCAGATCGCTCTGTCAAGTACCTACAAAAAGTTTCTAGGTTTTGTCATATTTCTGTGAATCACAAGCACGCGATCGTAAAGACTGTAATAATTGTAGAAGAAACATATGCAAATATCACAGTAACCATACTTGATCAGTGAACTTAATGAGAAAAACAATTCAAAATGAAATATATTGATCATAAATTGTTTTAAAATATTATACTAAAAATAAAATGAATCCTATACTATTTACATTATTCCGACTATTTTCCTCATCTTTGTCGTCACATTTATTACAACGTTTCGGTCGCTGTACGCTCCGGCCTTTTTCAGGTTGCTGAAATGTCGAACTGAACCCTTTTTTTCGCTCACTGAGGTAGACTGTTCTAGTTCCACGTGCCATGTTTAATGGATGTCAGTTATCAGTCATCTTCTGTTAATTCCACTCTCCAAGTTCTCCACTGCCTTAACCGGGTTTTGAACTCTTTGGGTCCTGTTACTGGATCAGTTCGACATTCCAACCACCTGACGAAGGCCGGAGCGTACAACGGCCGAAACGTTGTAATAAATATGGGGATAAAGATGAGGGCAATAGTCCGAATAATGTAAAATAGTGTAAATAATACCTCATCTCAGAAATATAGACAGATACAAAAATGAATGCTCTTTTTACATATTAGAACTGCTGAAAATTATAAATCCATATTTTAATAAAATTCATTTATGTTTATCCTATAAAATCCAAAATGAACAGTCAAGATATAATATAGCAAGAAAATTAAGAACAAAAGTATATATGTATACTTTAAATGGGTGTTTGAAAATCCCGCGGTACTAATACAGTGAAAATGCTTCATAATACTAACGGAGGATTAAAAAAATCGCTGATCAAAACAAATACTATTACTTTTTCATTTACGTTGCACTTCGATGTACAAAGTTCCGTGTCTAATACTCTATAATTCAACAAATATTCACTCGTCTGTCGCTTCAAATGTTAGCAATAGCTGTCGCTATTGGCATTTAAATTATACCTCGATCTGGTCTGAACGTACTGTCAGCAAATGTTCTATTGCCTAGATGCCAAATGGAAAACGTTTTCACCTTTTATTGTCAAATATTCAAGTGATAATGACCGTCGTACAAGTCTGGTGGTGCATTTAGAGTTGGCTGGCTCAGTAGCGAAGTGAGAATAATGGTTATTCTGCCACTAACTCCGTCTATAAGACGGCAAGAGAATCTTTGATGAGAAAATTACCTTGAACACGACAGCGCGTCGGTCATTACATTGGTACTCTTCAATAAAAGTGTGCCATTTTGACAAATCAATTTGCATTGGCGGATATTTACGCGACGTTTCCGAAGAGTTAGATTTTTAAAAGGTGTGAACACGCTAACGGAAGGACACGTAGATTATGAGTGATCGGTAAATATATACTTGCATTTGCCACGATTCCTCATGGTTAACAAAAGATATGAGCACATTTCGAAGCAATAAAAAACGTAAGACCGACATGTTATTTATGTCGGGGCGATGTAAAAGGGGAGGTTTACTCAGAACTGAACACTGTTTACCGACTGCTTACATACAGAAAGTCTTATTAGAGTTGTGATTCGCGTCCACACATAATTTATTAAGCTATACTTAGTTTTGGCGTACAAGTCTTGAAATTTGAAACACTCGGTGCAGGACCAACTTCACTAATTAAAAGTAATGGCCAACAGAAAGAGCTTGCTAACCATT